TGCAGGTCTGCAATTAAAGATATTATCTTTAACTTTGTTTGTTGGGAATTTGAAATCTCGGTGCACGATCTAATAACATGCATAATATTTAATCGTAGTTTTATAAATAAATAATAACCAAACCACAAACCAAACTAGTTTCTAATGCTCTAAATATTCGAAGGGTTACCATCATCCCTATTGCACAAATTTATTTTTCCTTCAATTTTATTTATAGTTTATAGCTCTTTGAAAATATCTTCTTCTTATACTTCTGAATGTATTTTATACTTTTTATTGTAAGTGTTGAAAAATATTGATTTCACTTTTAATGCCCCCCGCCGCCCCTTGGCGACAGGTCCAGAAACCTCGCTGGCCATTATACTGCTCTACCATTTCCAATCCATCTTCCGGGGAAATTATTTCATTGTTTATATTATATTATATTTATTTTATATTATTTTTTATTGCAATTGATTTTCCGTATTCAATGTTTTACCCCACATCATTTTTAAGTTTGAAAGCTTATCAATACTGTAACGATCAATAGATTAAATATTAAAAAAAAACAGAGCCGGACTTAAAATTAGTTTAAACTAATTGTGTTCAAATGTCCAAAACAAAAAAAGTATCAAGTGTGGCATATCATTATACTCAGGAGACCGAGTTCTTTCAAAAACTGAAATAAAAAATGCAGGTCCGTATTTAAAAAAGTTAACTTGGCCTCTATATCTTACAAATTATCAGCTAATTTGAAAATATAAAAATACTATCAGATAGTCCTAATAAAGTGACTATGAGAATGTATAATTAGTTTTTTGATTTTCTAAAAAGTAACAACAGGAAAAAATAAAATTGATTTTCAAAAAAATCTATTTTTTCCATAAAACTCAGCAATCCTTGAAATTTTTAAAACTTTTTTGATGGCATCTTGATGAACATCCCAAGGCGTGACTGTGCCCCTATTTAATCATCTTCGCATCTATTACGGTTTCCGAGATACCAATGCTCGTACCTCGAATTTGTAGCACCCTGTATACCCGGTATACATAATCGTTTTATCTACATTACCAAAATGTTCTTAAAAAATAACATATTTTAACGGTTTTGAACTTTTAGCTCCTTATGGAAAATATACAGAGATTTATGGTTAATTGATGTTTTTATTACTGTTAATGTGAATCAGCCAGCGGAATCATGAAAACAACGTGACTACTAATTGCTAGTTTGACCCTCACTCTCACAACGCTTAATAATTTTTGATAAAAACCTTAATATATTATATTTTTAATTAAAAATAATCGAAAAAAACATTAACGCCTATATACCGTATAATCCATAAAAATTGGCGTCAAGGTTTCCAAAGACTTTAGAAATGTTGATCGATGACATAGGTAGTATACCAAAAAATTTTAGAACGGTAACTTGACGCCGTTATTTTTATCACACAATATTTTTATTAAACAGCAAAATATTATGTAGAAGATATTAAAAATTATAGGTATATCGCTTTTAAAGCCTGGTAGTACCGTATGATCGAAACAGCGTCCAGTTGACTTATAGAAATAACGATTAATAATTACATTCCCCGTAAAATGACAGCCATCTTCATTTCATAACCATCACTGACGCCTTATTTTTGCGATCATATTGTACAAGGGTAAATGAATTTAAAAAATGTACAGGGTGGCTGAAATTCTACAACTAATAAGTTTTCAGAAATTATTAAAAAAGGTACAGAAAAACTATTTACTAAATCGGTTCACATAAATCGCCTTATTTTCAACTACAAATGGCCTTTGACATGTTGTAGTTCTATTGTAATTTCCAAGATCCCACTGACCACCTTCGAAGTTTGGACACTCTGTAGTCCAAACAATAAAGAAAGGGGGGGGGGGCAAAAGTAGAGGGGGGGGGGCTCTGCACCTTCTTATGATCTAGGATATAAACACATAGGTTGCTATGAGAAAAGAAAATTCAGCAAATCACATAAATTATAAAATCGTCTGTCTATGGAATTATAAAATATGCAGAAAGAAGTTTAATTAATGCTTATCTATCAAAATATATGTTTTTGAAGCAACGGTGTTTTTCTATCAGCATGAAATGTAAAACATTCTATATAGTTCTTCCGGTTAATATGCGCAAATGCACCTGAAATCTTGCAAACTATGCAAACTTTATTATTTCGCAATGTGACTTTATATGCAGTGACACACATGAATCCAGTACTTTGTAAGCCATATACAGGGTGTTCCTTAATGACATGCTAATATTTAAGGGGATGATTCTTGAGCCTATTCTAAGAAAAAAAAACTTCATATGAATATATAACCCGCTGGCAAGCAAACCTTTAGGTCGGCGTTTACATGTATAGGAGTGAGTCGTTATGGCAAACTAGTAAGTCGGAGTGAGCAAAAATACGAAATATTTATTACATAACTACTTAATCTGACGCTAGATTCCATGCGCTTGGGAAAATACTCGCCTTCTGTCTTTATTCAGTACATCTTATTTTACTAAGCGTGTTGACCGTACTCTTCGTACACATGAAAACCGGCACCCAAAACCAAAAATGCCGACCCTTAGCAAGGTTATTAAAAGGTAAGGTTGTCTCGTAACTTTTGGACCAATAGGAGCGAAGCGGAATAGCATCCCTCTGACGTAGATAGAACGTATAAAATCATAGATAAAAGGAATAGAAAATAAAATGCAACCGACAAAGAGAGATAAATGGACAATACAATAAAGAAAACACACATCAAACAACTGAAAACTATTGACGCCATACACTATAAACAATAAAGTACACAATGAATATAGATTCGGAAATGCACTGTCGGACTGTGGGCAGTTTTTATCCCTTTATCTATGAGCGGTGTCATTCCTATGACATAGTAGATGACGTTTTCGATAATGGCGGATCGAGTTACGAGACAACCTTACCTTTTAATAACCTTGGACCCTTAGTATGTCCTAAACATCGGTGGTAAAATTTTTATATTTTTTTTTCAAAATACCACTGATGTTATATTTTATACACGTCTTCCATGCATCAAAATGCATATCTTGATATACAAAAATAAAACGTTTTATTTCTTGATTTCTTTCCAGCCGACGCAGAAACGATTTCCTCTCAACAATCATCGCATCAAATTTTCAGCGATTTGACTTTTAAATTTTTTAAGCAAAAATTATACCTTGGATAAAAAAGAATTAAAAGATAAATATTGTTCCGAAATGAATGGAGATTTTGAAAATAATTTTTACTCTAAGAGAAGTCAGTGGTGTACCAATTTTTTCTTCCAAAATAGTAAATATAAACCCGTATGGACGGCACTGGTTGAAATAAATAAAATTCTTTGTACATTAAAAAATATATTTTGATGCATGGAAGACTAAAAAAAATTTATTTAGACCATTTTTCTCCACCATCTCATAAATTAAGATGTTTAGGACAAACATGTTTAAGACTTTCATTAGGTTGTATTGAACACCCTGTATTTTATAGACGGATCACAATATCTACTTTTTCAATTTCTTCTACATGCATTCTAAATTAGTGTATAAGTAAATAAAATTACTATTTATCATTTTCTGTATATCTGGAAATTATATTAATTATTGTTGCCTCGATTTTTAAATTGCTGAAAATACAATTTGTCTGTGAATTAAAATGACAGACACGCCTGTCACTGCCAGGGATCATCCTCCAGTTGGAAAGACTATATCAAATTTCCTTGCTAGTGCTTTTTTCAGAAAAAAAAACATTTGACGCTAGTAAGGATGTCAGAAGTAAATGGATAAATTTAAATATTTTTATATGTTCAATCTTTCCAATTTGATAATATCCTTATATATGAATTTATAATATCAAGACTCAAGACATTATACATACATTCAGACATATGTTTTTGTTTAGAAGAGGCAGAGAAAAAAAGAGCTTTATTTTTCTGGTTTATAGAGGGTTAGTCTTAAATAAGTGCGAATATTTGCAGGGCTGGTAGATCTCGATGAAAGAAACATATTTTCTCTTTACCGTTTTTCTAATAAATCCAAAATAAGCGAGTTATTTTACTTTGAAAATTTCCAAAAAAAAGACTATGAAAATTTTGAAAACGACTAATGGACCTTTTTTGGATTTTCTTTCTTGTAAATTTAATCTAGCACTTATATTGCCATATTATCAACAAATTATGTTTTTTAGTTAAAAAAAATTTGTGTTTCTGTGGTCGAAATATACTACCCCTAAAATAATTGCCCTTAATTAAATTAAGACTTACCCTGTATACAAAAATCGTTTTCTCAAACAATAAACTTTATACGGAGTATACAATATAATATTTTATACGTAGACGTAGAGAATCAAAAGCAAAATTTCATATAGGCACGACATATAAATTAGAATAAAATCAAAAGATAATTTAACCGGTCCCAAATATTTGTTTATTATTTACAACACTGCATCATGATATATTAGTTCAGGGTAACAAATAGTAAAAAGAAAAATAAATTTAAGTAGTTGATATACAAACCCGTATATTACTTCATATAGGTATCTAATACTTTAAATGAGTAAAATCCGGTATAAGTAGCATTTATTTTTAAGTAACTAACAATCTCTCTAACCATATTATGCTTATTTAATTATAATTTGGATTGTTCTATGAACATGTTTTTTTAAATAATACCTTTCATACTCATTTCAAGTGGGATTATAAATAAGACGAGAACTTATATTTCACCTTCCTGGGTAATTTTGGAATGGACTTTGAACTTACTTAAGAACGAAATATTTAAAATAGAATAGCTAACTTAACTGACAGAAACAGCGCACGTTGAAAGATTAACTGGCAAATTCTTAAACTCATTTATTTTGCGAAATGCGGAAAAAATAATTTGTTTAGGATTTAATGATTCATTGGAAAAAAATTGAGTAACGCAGAAATCTATGAATGTGTATCAACTTTGTTTAAACTGTATTTTTATAATTTTTGCGAAAATAAGTTAATAAAATTTACCTTTATATTATGCTGCTACCGGCTGTCCTTAAACTATGTATTTCATAAATTAACTATCAGTCTTCAGTATCCAATAAACTAGGTACTCCAGTTAGTTATAATTTGTAGAGTAATATATCTTCACAAAATCTTGTGAAATGAAAATATTCAACTTTATATAAAAAATGTTCTTTCCTTTCCATGACACTTCAACGATACCCAAAGAACACTAACTCGCCGTCAAAAACTGTTCATAACTTTATAATAATTTAAATAATAGTATTTAACACTCTGAAGATTTATTGATAGGCCGACTTCCACGCTCAAATTCAAAACACAGAATGAACTGCATCGGCCATCCTTCAAAACATTATTGTTTGAAGGCCAGTCTATGCTCCCATTGGCTGACAGCCGCACGAGCATAGGCGTAACGACGGATTTCTTCTGAGGTATTAAATTGAAAATTAAGTTTTAATTAGTTTAAATAACTATTTATTAGTGATCTATATTATTCTAAATTTATTTCTTTAATTTTCTGTGTTAGTTAGATCTACTAAATAGCTAATGGATCTATTAAACTTTTTCACAGTATCTGTTCAGTAAAAGAATATATTATTTCGACAAATGACTTACAAAAAATGAGAAAAAACTACTGTCTTGATCATTATTCTTTAGTAATTTAGATAGACAGTCTATAATAAATTAAGTACATTATTACAGAAGTTAATCAGAAACTGATAGCAAATTTCCTGTAGAAAAGTCCATTGTTTTTCTTTTAGTTATATAGAAAAATTATATTAAACATATAAGTGCAAGTATTTTAACTGCTACCATAATTCGACCCCAAAAACACTCCCATGAGTTTTTTTTGCAAAAAAAATTTTGAAAATTTTATGTTTTTGGTTTGGTTTGGTGGAAAATATTGAAAAACTTTTGACTGCCGCTTGTTCAGTTTCCGGAAATTTGTTTATAGTGCTTCGACAGAAAGCAATGTTGCCACCTCCTACGTTATAATATGCCATATTCTGTATATTTATTTCTACAAAAAAATACTTAAATTAATTTTATTTACTGTAGATTTTTATTGTATTTTCATTGTAGATAACTTATTAGACATAGTGCAACATCTACCATACATATTTTAAATACCTTTTTTACAGTTTAGTGAGCTGAAATAATGAAACTAAATAATGAACAATTATAACAGCTTTTCAACAGTTCAGAATCAGCACCCTCTATTAGATTTGGAAATAGTCAACGTTTGACCTACATTTAAACAGATCAGCTGATTGAATTTTTAGGTTATCCAATTCATTTGAAATATTACTCAAAATAGTAAATTTCTGACAAAATAAAAAAATAAGCCAATATAAGGTAAGCCTATAAAAATATTTTTATTATTAAAATAGAAATATCAATTATTTTGGTGTTTATTCACAAAAACAAGAGTCTGAGAATAACAGGGGAGTTTAAATTCTCAAAACATAATCCTAAATAATTCAGATGGCATATGAATGTATTTTGTGCCAAATACACGTTGGTATTTAAGTGGTATTTTAGGGGGCTGCCAAGAATCGCAGTGAAATGAAGTGCTGTTAAGTGTAGAGTTGCAGTTTTAGGTAAAATGATAAAACGATGTTCTAGCCTAATTACATCGATCTGCTATCCTATCGGAGTCCCGTTTTGTAAGGTTAGGTACGTTTTTTACTTTTAATCTGACTTTTCCAAATCATTTTTAAATATATCTAGTCGATGTGTCAACAATGGACGCCGAACAATCTCAGATTGTGGTAATTGTTTGATATTTGCGGCTGATTATCGATTACTACCGGCGGCTCTCAAAATGTTGCCATTATTTTTTTAAATTTTCAAAGTATTTAACTTTAAGCATTTAACTCATAATTTTCAGTCTCTATTATTATAAATTTATTTTATATTTTAATATAATGAGAAGGTACTCACAGTTTTTTTTTATCTAAAATTATTTACTCTCTCAAGATGAAATTCACATCTAGTTCAGCATCATTCATCATTATAACTGTACTATTCCGTTTTTGGGACAAACATGTGATTATGATTAGACACAACAATTTTTCTTTAACCTTCAAACATGTTTTTTTGTCTAAAATAGAATAGCAAGATAAATTTTAAAATGATTGTTATAATAAAATGTTTTTCTTGTCTTTTCCTGATCGGTTAAAAGATGCCCAAATCGTATTTTTAATCATAACTCAATTTTTTCAAATGGAACAGGGGTGACTTATTAGCATATTTGTAAAAAGCATTTTTTTCCGAATAATTTGGTATCATATACTTGATATTAATAGTTAATTGTCATTACATTTATGGCCACGGCAGTCTAGATTGAAATATAATATATAATATTGTCATTTTGTTTAAGAAATAGAAAAGTGATAGGGGTGAGGGGTGAGCCACTTTTGAAAAACACCCGGTATGAAATCAAGTATATATATATATGTAGTGAATTCTGAATCCCCCCTCCCCACAATGCTAAATCTATTAATTTTCTGCCTTTTGAATAATCTACAGTCTACAGCACTGGTACCGGATTAGGAAAGCACGAATCATGTATCTCGTGTCGGTCACGTACTCAAATTATTATATATTCTTACGCTGAGTTTTAAAAAACAAATAACAGAATAGCACCCTACTTTTTCATTACATATATTACGTGCTGCAAAATTGTCGTAAACAATAATATTGCAAATTGCAACAGAGCAATTCTGTGCGCCCGTACAGGTTGATTTTTTAAATTCACCTATTTAATTTAGATAAGCACGCTTTCTTACTTATCTATATTTGTTATTACGGAGTACTAGGCTTAATTTTAACACTATGATTTATAATATCCAGTAAAAATCTGCCGTTATTGATTTGTGTAACAAGATCAGGTTTTAAAGGTACTGTGTTTGTGAATTTAAATATTTGGCACATAATTTTATTTTTATTTATACAGGGTGAGTCTTAAATAAGTGCAAATATTTTCAGGGGTGGTATATTTCGACCCCAGGAACACGTCTATGAGGTTTTTTTCGCAAAAAAAGTTGTTGAAAATCGTGCACTTTCTTTTAAATTTCCCTGTATATTTTTCGAAAACTTTTTAGAACTGCCTGTTCACCGCAAATTTTCCCACTGTATAATTTCTTTAATCTCTGATATTACCATAGTTACGGCTTTACTCTATGGCTACGGCACTAAAAGAGATACAATTACAGAAAAAATCCGGTGGCTCTCAAAATTTTTTCAAAAAAAATCAATTTTTTTTTTAATTTTAAAAATTAAATAACTCGGTTGTTTTGGACTCATCTGAAAAATGGTAAAGGAAAATATGTTTCGTTTATCGAGATCTACCAGCCCTAAAAATATTTGCACTTATTTAAGACTCACCCTGTATAATATTTGTAAACTGTTTAAATATATTTTATACTATCTTTTAATAATCTTACAATATCGTTTGCTTCCAATCGACGCATAATTAAGAAAAATCCTGATGATTTCGTTCATTTAGAGGCATCGCCATCGGTTCGAAACGTCGAGTGCGTCATCCTGTAGCCCGTCCCCAATTATCCGAATATCGACCTACATTCTTCCTCAATATCAAATCCTTAATCTCACCCTGATGAAGATTTAAACGAAACGTCGTATCCAACTTTGCAGGGTGGGAGCGTGTGCACCGTCGCTCACATAGCCTACCCACCAAATTTGATCGCGGTCGGACGACATCAACTTTTGACATTTCTTACAACAAAACTAACTGTTACAGTGACACGACCTGTGGTACACGGTCAAGTTGGCCCTGGTCCAATCTATCGACATACCAAATTTCCTTTAAATCGGACGATTTTTTGATTTCGTTCATTGATGATGGGGTTTCGGTGTCAAAATATTATCAAAAGATGGGACTCTTCCACATCTACATTCCGAGTTTCAACCCCCTAGCTTACATAGGGCCCGAGTTACGATGCTCCAAAGACCCATTAAATCGGACGATTTTTTCGCCATTGGTGATGGGGTTTCGGTGTCAAAATATTATCAAAAGATGGGACTCTTCCACATCTACATTCCGAATTTCAACCCCCTAGCTCACATAGGGCCCGAGTTACGACGCTCCAAAGACCCATTAAATCGGACGATTTTTTCGCCATTGATGATGGGGTTTCATAGTGCACGAAACGTCGTCAAAATATCATGAATACGTCGTCTACATTTCGAGTTTCAGCCCCCTAGCCCTTAACTCACATAGGACGCTACAAGATCGTTACCATTTTTGTGACGCTTGGCGACCTTGGCGTGACGCTAGCTCGTGTGTCGCGGCCTTGAATTTTTATTCCCATCGCGCGTAATGAAGTTTCACACACAAACATTCGTGGGTGTTGGAAAAGTTCAAATTATATTTTGTGCGATGTTTCGCGATTTCGCATTGTCACTTCTTCAGGCGCTAAAGTACTAAATGTTTCGATACCTAAGAAGCGACAATAAAGTCGTCATCAAAACGTCTCACAAAATATAATTGTTTCCTTTGGGCCTTCCCAATACACACGAATTTTTCTTCACAATTTATTATCTACCATAAAATCTCTTTGGGTAATGCTGATAGTTTTTATTAATAAAATGATTCGAATACATATCTACTGTTTTTGCAAAATATAAATGTAAAATTGTCTGTGTCGTAAACATATTATGTTTTTCAAAATTAGGTAATATATTTTTGGGAGATAAAACTTTATATGCTATACAGTAACCGTTTGGCGTATAAAACGTGAATATTTTTTATGAATTAAAGATTAAAGGATATACCTACCGCACTTTCATATAAAATGGAAATAAACTATGTTATTTAAATATAGATTTAGTTAACGATAAACGGTATTTTTGTTTGTGAATTTTTAAATATTTTACCCTTGTTTATTAATTCTTATACGTAGATACAAGGATTTTGCCTTAAAAAGGTTAAATATCATACTTCATATATTTTTTATCAGAATGAATTAATTATTACAAATAGTTTGCAATTTAAAAGCAGGTGATCTAATTGTGAAGCTGATTTTTAGACCTTAAAATAATTATACACTGAGTAAAACTCTTAACTTTTGTTTAAAACTCTTTAAAAGTAAAACTTTTAGAAATCATTTTTATTCAATATAAAACTGATTTTTAAATGGAGAGTGGAGATAAAAAATGTATGAATATTTTTGGTCTTTGATGCCACTGCTCTAAATGGAAAAGTTGATGTAAATGTAATTTTATAGTAAAGTTACTACGGAGAGTTGTACAGTGCAAAATAGTAAAAAATTTAATTTAACAAATATGTAGTTCAATAACTTGTATCATTTG